ATTCTAATAAGCACTATATATCTTATTCTAATAAAAGCTTCTTATATTAGAAAGCTATTTATTACTTAGTACTAGTAAGCGCTCTTCTCTAGTTTAGTGCACTTTCTAGACGTTACTATTATACTTCTAACTAAACCTTATAGTCTAGTATACTCTAGACTCTAGTATTTACTCTAGAGTAAATAGGCTAGTATACTTTTAAAAGTCTATATAGATTTCTAGTAGTTAGCTAGCTAAGCTTTCTATCTATATAAAAGATATATTATATACTACTTATTAATTAGGCTAGCTAGTCTATTTAATAGTAAGCTATAATATACTACCTTTTAGCTTCTAGATAGAGTTTTTAAAAGCATGCTAGTTTTATATTTTATCTACTATAGCGTAGAGCTAGTTAAAGATATCTTTATACGCTTCTTCTACGTTATATAGCTTATTCTTATATAGAAAATTAATAATATATATAAGCTTTTCTACTAAGTACTTCTAGCTATCTTTAGCGCTACTTTTATAGAAAAGCTTCTTATTAAAGCTTATATTTCTTATTATAATTATTTAATTAAGCTTTAGAACTTATATTCTATAAATATTAGACGCCTTATATTCTACTAGGTATCTAATATAGCTTCTTAGTATAACTTTAAAGTTATACTTATCTTATCTAGCTACTTACTTTCTATTAAGTAGATAAGCTCTATAGCTATAGGCGTAGATAGTACTTTAATTTAGGTAAAAGTTAGCTATAATAGTATAGACTTTCTTACTATACTTTATACACTATATATTAAGTATAGTATTAGGTACTAAGAGATTATAAGTATATAATAGGCTTATATTATATAGCTAGATTACTACTTTTATAATATCTAGCTAGAGCTTTTTAGAGAAATTTACACTAACTCTTATCTTAATAGACTTAGTAATTATCTTCTAACCTACTCTCTTTACTTCTTTATTTAGTTTATAGATATAGATAGAAGTACGCTCTATAATAATACTCTACTCTTTAGCCTATATCTTAAAGCGTAACTTACCTCTCTAGAGTAGTATTACTATATTATTATCTTAGATAATAATATAGATATTAAGCTTATACTAAGCTATAAGAAAGCTTATAAAGTTATAAAAGACTTTTATAATCTCTATAAGCGTTTTAGCTTAGAGAGTATATTAATAGATCTTACTACTATAATTATCTTTAAGTACTATAATCTAGAGCTCTCTATTATAACTAGTAGAAAAGTTAAAAAGATTCTATAAAATCTTCTAATAAGGTCTTAAAGCTTTCTTATATAGTTATCTAGAGATATACTACTTTATATAAGTAATAGTGTAATACTTATACTTACTTTAGCTTATTCTTTTAATACGTATATTACGCATATTCTTAATAAGAGCTTAGAGCGCTTCTAGACCTAGGTAGCCTACTTTTATATACTAAAGCTTCTTTAAATTAAACTAAGAAAGGCTTCTTTAGAATTATTATAAGCGCTAGTTATTAGTTATACTTATTATAGTTAGGTAAAACTTTAAAGAATTATATTTAATAAATATAAGCTTATACTCTCTCTTAAGCTTTACTAGTATAAAGTTATTAGTAAGTATTTCTATACAAAGTATTAAGTCTAACTCTAGATACTATAGTCTAGCTTTATTAAGAGCTACTTCTAAGATAATATTAATATAGAAACTTTCTATAAGCGCTATACTTATTAGAATAAAGTTCTTTATATATAGTTTTTTTTTTCTAGTTAAAGCGTTTCTAATTCTTTATATACTATATCTAAGTATCTAGAAGAAGAAGCTTTCTACTTCTATAGTATAGAATTTATATACTTTTATAAAAGTCTTTAGCTTAAGTAGAAATATATTATTAATAAAATATACTACTACTCTATTATCTAAGATAGTACTTATAGAAAGTAGATAGACGTTAAAGTCTATAGTAAAGTATATACTACTAATACTTAGCTAACTTATAATAAGAGTAGAGTTAATAAGTATTATCTATATTAACTCTAGATAGATAAAGCTTAGACTTTTAATCTATACTTACTATAAAGTAGTTTATCTCTTTTTATTAAGAGCTCTCTATAAGCTATTATACTTTAAGTCTCTAAGCTTAGTAGTAATCTTAGCCTTAGCTTTATTAGAAAGCTTTAGAGGTTTACTTATAAGCGCTATTTCTAATTACTTATATATAGTAGTAGACTACTTATAGTACTATCTATATAGGTAATTCTTCTTAGACTTCTAAGATAAGTTATTATTATTAGAAGCTTATTATAGTACTTCTATAATAGTAAATATACTACCTCTACTAGTAGAGTAAGTAGTATACTCTTAGATTAGCGTAGTAAAAATCTTTAATACTTATTTAAAAGTAATTTAAGTTCTACTAATAGTAAGAGCTTTAATAAGGTTCTACTATATAAAGCGCTTCTATTCTAGAGTAAGCTTAACGCTAATTACTTCTAAATAGTTCTAAATAGTAAGTATATTATTAAATTTAGTAAGTTTATACGCTTTAGCTTAGACTAGAATATAGAGGTATTTCTATTACTAGCGCTTAGCATTAATACGTTCTTATTACACTTTCTAGAGGTATACTCTATACTATAAGCGTATAAAATTCTTAGTATAGTTCTTTTCTAAAGAAAGTATAGACTTAAGGTATTTAATAAGTACTTATAATATAGCCTCTTTTTCTATAAAGATAGAAAGTATAGTAGAAGCTAAAAGCTTTAGACTAATAGTCTAATTAATCTAGTTCTAAAGATACCTAATATAAGTACTCTTTAACTACTATTCTATTACTTATATCTTATACTTTATAATAGATAGATTATACTTATTAGCGTAGAGCTTATTAACTAAAGTATTCTATATAATTACTACTAGCTCTAAAGTAGTTAGAACGCTTATCTAGATAGAAGTAGCTATTTTAGTATTAGAGTTAACGTTAGTCTAAATTTCTCTACTTAGAGTATAAAATTTAAACTAGGTAAACTACTTAGGCTAATATACTAAGTTAGTAAGCGTAAAAGCTTCTATAGAGATTATTATAAAGTTACTTATTATAAGTAATAGAGTAGTGCTTCTATAGAAGCGTAAAGATTAGTAATAGAATTAGTATTACTATACTCTATTAAACGCCTTATATCTTAAGTATATAAATATAGAACTATATTATCTTCTTAAAGCGCTAGGCTTATAACTATTACGTTTAGAAGTATAGAAATAAATAAAAGATAAATTATTATATTATAAGCTTACTTAGAAAGCTCTCTTAAGTAGTAAAGCTCTTAAGAGCTTATCTTAATCTATACTAGTATAATTATATACTATACTCTTAAAAAGTATCTAAAGGTATATTCTATAATATAACTTAGTAATAAGCACTACTATAAACTTATCTCTATTTCTTACTATAAAGAGCTAGTAGCTAAAATCTAGACTAGAGTTTATATACTAACTCTACTCTCTTAGTAATATATCTACTATTATCTAATAATAGCGTAACACTAACGCGCTTACTAAATATATTAATACTATCTATAACTTTTTATAATAGTAAATACTATAGATATAAGATAAGATAAAAGTATTTATAAATACTAACTAATTACTAGTATCTAGGTTTACACTAGATAAGTAGATAATACTTAATATAAAGTATATTAAGATAGAGTATCTAGTTAAGTTTTTAGACTATAAGAATATAAAGCTATATTAGATTACTTATATTATTAATAATATAGCTTATAAATTAAATCTTTTACTATAACTTAAGACTATATTTTTTATATTCTATTCTTAGTTACTATAACTATATAAGAATAATACTTTCTTTAGCTAGATTTACTCTAGTAATACTACTTCTTCTAAAGTCTACCTAGCTAATAATAAAGTTACTAAGTTTATTATCTTCTAGATTAAAAACTTCTATATTTAATATAATATAGTTAATCTATATACTAGTAAATAAAAACTATTATAGTATAAGATAGTTTAGATTAGTAATAATTAGTTAGACTCTTAGTAGACTTATAGTAATCTAAAAGAATATAAGAAGTTTATATAGAACTTTTATAATTATAATTCTAGCTATCTAGAACTATATATTATATTCTATAACTATAATAATAATAAAAAGCTTACTATTACTCTACTCTAGCTATTAGACTTTAAGTACTTAGAAAGAACTAGCTAGTTATTTAAAAACTTCTCTAGCTATATTACTATTAAAGCCTACTAGGTTAATTATAATATATATCTCTATCTAACTTTAGCTTCTATAGCTATTAGTAGCTATAAAGTAGTTTACTACTCTACTTACTATCTATTAGCTTTAGCTAGAATAGTGTTTTCTATAGTACTCTAGTAGCTTAAAAGATAATAATACTTTATATATAAATTATATAATATACTTCTAGCCTATAGAGTAGTAATAGTCTTACTATCTATAATTATTTAGGTATTCTTATTAAGAGATACTTTTATTTTTTAAGTTTATACTTAGATAGAACTTTAAGCACTTTAGAGAGAGAATATATAATAGTTCTAGATCTAGAGCTCTATTAGTCTAATATTAGGCTAACGTTTCTACTATATATATTTACCTCTAATAGCTTCTTCTAAAGCTCTCTACTATAATAACTTTATTATCTTTATATACTTTAATTATCTAATCTCTATAAAACTCTTATATTAATAGCTTTATTAAATTACCTTTTTTATATAGAACTAGTTTTGTTAATTTACTATTAAAGTTACTATTACTACTTAGTTAGAACTTTAAGCGCTTTAGAGAGAGAATATATAATAGTTTTAAATTTAGGTTTTCTATATAACGTAAAGCCTATAGTCTACGTAGTCTCTACTTATATATATTTTCTGCTAAGCCTCTGCAAAGGCTCTCTACTATAATAACATTGTTATTCTACCTATATCTATTATCTAATATATCGTAAGACTCTAACACTTAGAGGTAGAATTATCTACAAGAAGGCGCAATCACAAAAGAGCCTCTGCGCGTTGCGAAAGAAGATGCCTGCTCGCTCGGAATCGTCCACGAAGCGCGACGTCTTAATACCTACCAGCGAAGGCGCATACGTGAAGATCGGCGCGTACGGGTAATCTGTGCCAAACAAGAGCTGCGATGCCGGTATGTTGTATGCGAGAAGACCACCGACCTGATGGAAGTACGTGGGGCCCGCGGAGTCCCAGTAGAAGCGCGTCTGCAAAGCGGCCAGGGTGCGGTCGTAGATCGCGGGGAACGACTTCAATAGGCGGTCCGCGACAGACGGGAATGCGCCGCCGACGTGCGGGATGATGTAGTTGATGTTGGTGAAGTTGAGGATAGTTTGCGTGACGGCGAGGTCTTGGAGAACGCGCGCGGTTTCGAAGTAGAACTCAATGTTGCCTGTTGGGTACGTCGTTGGGTTTGCTTCGATGAGTGAGCCGTTGACGCGCAGGTACGGTGTTGTGGGGTGGATGTAGATGATTTGGTCCGGTCCTCGCGCATTCATGGCTTGGAAGAAGGGCGTGAAGGCGGAGTGGCCAAGGTATCGACCTTCGAAGTTGGAGTAGAGCGCGATACCGGCGGCTCCAAGTGCGTCGAGAGCGTACATGGCTTCAGCGATAGCATCCGGGGTGTATGGGAGCGGCACGACGGCGTAGAACGAGAAGTGCTTGGGGTCGACTCGCGCGTACGCCGCGGACTGCTCGTTGATCAGCCGAGCAAGCGCGATGGTCGCTTCTCGATTATCAGGATACACATTTGCACCAGGCGAGGAGAATGCCAAGACTGCATGCGAGATGCCTTGGCTCGCCATGAAGTTGAGATGCCCGCTGACGTTCCAAAATGGTGTCGGGTTCCCGCCGGCCGTTGGAGCGATTGCGCGATACCAGTCGGGAACGCAATGCGCTATGAAGCTTCATCAGGTTTAGTACCGCATGATGGAAAAGGAAACGCGTACCATGAACATCGAGGATGGTGGTGGCATTCGAGCCATTGCGCTGTGGTAGCTCTTGCGCCTGGTCATCAAGATATGTCGACGCGATGCTGTCAAGAGCGAAACTGAGGTTGAAGCCAGGTATTGCGTCGAGGTTGATGGCGTCTGGACGCAAAGGGTCAGTTACGTCGCGACGTCGTATGCAGGTGCGTTGTGAATACCAGCGGTGGCGCGTTCCTGGATGGACTGGACTATCTCGTCATGCGATGGCCACCCGTGGACACATGCGGAGAAGGCAGTCGTCCACGTTAAGACGACGAGAAATCCCACGTACGTCTTCATATTCGCGCAGTGGGAGACGAGAGTGTCGTTGCGAAAGCAGGCATGCGTGGCACGCCTACTAATGTAATGCGCATCGCTACGACAGGCTATACGAGCAATACATCGAAAGAGGAAAGTCTTCAAAAGCCTCATAGTCCTTGACCCATTGGTGACACCGCGCAAGCGATGCGTAAGCAACGCCACTGCACGTCAGCACGGCAGCGGGTAAAGAGGCGGCTGAGGCCAGACCCAGATCCCAAGGTTGGGCCATGAGATCTATCAATCGGGATCCTGCTATGTGACTGAGATGCATACCTGGTCCATGGTTGAGTTGCGCATCCGAGCCTGTCGACATATGTATTTGTTACGATCAAATGGTGGCTGAGGCTCCCTCCAGCGAGATGCGCCTGCATAGTACGTAACGACGAGTCCAAAGTATAGCCTTCTGCTTTCCGTTCATCCCAACCGCTACTAGAAACCATGCGATATGCAGTTAAACTCAAGGCGGAGGTCGACGCCCACAGGATAATCGCGCCAAGTCTATGGGTTCATCCGCGGTGAAGACAACGCGACAAAGCCTCATGCGGTGTAGAGTTTCCCTATGCTGCCTTGCGCTTTGTAACCGCCTCCGTACAGCTCTTGCGCTCCGCGCTGATCCATTCCATCCCCCATTGTAATTCAGTGAGTCACGCATGTCCGTGTCGTGGAGAATCGTGTCCGCGCCACGACCTGCGAGGCTGCCGGATGCGAAGAGCTACGATGGGAACCATGTATCGATGGCTGACCCAAATGCGCGATGCTTCGCTGTGGCAAAGTCGCGTTGAGATCTGGGCTCGCGTTTGGCACTCGTTGGCTGTGTGGGTGGTTGAGGGATGCTGGCCAGGTGCCGCCCTCGCTCCCAGGGAGGCGAGCCTGCAGGGTTCTAGCGTTCTGCCCCCACATCCCGAACGCGACATAGTTTCCCACCTTACATGCGCAACGTCAGCTCGAGGCCATTGCGACATCTCCTGGAATGATCTTTGACGGAGAGCATATCGCGGACCTTCTTGCGATGACTACTGGGAAAAGAGTATTCGACGGCTGTCTGAAATCATATCTCGAATGCAAAGAACGGTTTATCGGAACGGAGTTCACATTGGCATCATCCATTCAGAACCCAGGCTTATCAGTGTAGTGTGAAAAAGTGTCCCATGGCAATTATGTATAGCGCGCAATACCATTGCACCGTCAAGTCCTCGCTGGGTTGTTTACAGCGTCCTCCATCGTCACTCTAGTCTCTCCATCGTAGGGTCTCAACGCCTCGCGCGCCTCTGCGGCCTCTTCCAAGAGTAGCTTTTTGATGGCGCCCGAGCGTGGAATGAATCTCACACGGAAAGGTTCTGGTCGCATGTTCTCGCTATCGGTATATGCAAAGATATCCAAATCGACCTCATTGTGCTGTCGCAATGTGTTAGCGGTCGTGACATCAACGGTCCAGGTGGACGTTTCAAAGGAGACTCACATTCTCGTGAAGGCCTGGCAAGATATCAAAAGCCCAGATCATCCGCGCAAGAGAGTAAAGCAGTCCTTGCTCGGCAAGCGGCTGGCCACTACATTGTCTGCGTCCCCATCCGAAAGGATTCATGCCATACTTGTTTGGATATGGCTGTTTCGCACTGCCTTCGCCTTCAAGAAACCGCTCAGGCATGAATCGATCGGGATCGGGAAAGTCGCGCGGATGTCTGTGGATGGCCCACATATTGCTGGTGAAGTTGGTGCCGGCCGGGAAGCGGTAGCCTTTGTAATCGAAGTCGATGGTGTTGGCGTGGGGGATACCTGCGAGAATAGTTACGGTCCTCCAGCGGAGGGTTTCTTTGACCTGTGGCATGTTAGATGTTGGAGCGCTATTCAGAATGTTCGCAATTTACCACTGCAGTCAAGTATGGAAGCGCATTCGAGTCGATGTCATCCCAGTTCGGAGAGCGACCATAACCGACGGCTGCATCAAACTCAGCATGTGCTTTCGCTTGTACTTCCGGGAAGCGCGCCATGGCCAGGATGCACGAAAGCATAGTGCTGCTGGTCGTGTCTACCCCACCACCAATCAAATTGCCCATAAGGCTCGCAACTTCGAGATCTGTCATATGGCTAGCTTGCTGCGACGCCATAACATGTTTCCCAAAGTTGTCCTTCTCCGCTTCGGCGCCTTCCTGTGTGAGCAGGTAGAAGTAGCGCGACAGTATACCAGCACCCAGTCGCATCTGGCTCGGTAACGCGTAGAGCCAAGCAGGCAAGTGCATCAGGAACGGAATCGCTTCCATCAGATAGATGCCAGGGACGATATAGTTAACAGCCTCCATCAGTTTGAGAGCTTGTTGGGCAACGTAGTCGTTCTTCCGGTCGATTCGTCGGCCCCAGCCGACAATCGAGGTGATGGATACGGAGTAGCGCTCGATAGAGAGCTCGAAGTCATGCGGTTCAAGGAGGAAGTCGCGGATCAAGATTGCGGATTCGTGTGCTTGGAATGTACGATACTTGCGCACGGCTTGAGAGCCGACGGCCATGTGCTACGCTATTAGCTCGTTGTGCAGCAAGCGAAGCAACTCAATGTAACATACCATCAGCTTTCGATGTTTCCTCCATCGGTCGCCATACGGCAACGTAGTTTGATTCGCGGTTGTCGCGTTGATCGCATCGCCCATTGCGATGATTCTTGGTCTGCTCGAGAAGATGTCTGATCTCTTCTCCAGCAAGTCGCTCGCGACCCACGCATCGCTCAATATGATGCGCGGTTGCCGTCCGATCCAGAGAGTCATCATGGGTGAATCGTAACGTTGAGCCCATTTCTCCCATGTAATCCATGGCTTGTGCGCAGGCGTTTGGAAGTGGTTGCCAACGATGGGGAATGGGAAGGGGCCTGGGGGAAGGTATCGGCGGCGCCATAGCATGTGGATGTAGTCAGCGATCAAGCCGATGGAGGCGAAGAAGAGAAGGATTAAAACAAGCTGAAGCATTGTGCCAGAGGCAAGTTCTGTATCGCACCTGAGCGTGATGTAACTGTAAGGGTATCGTTGTTACCACTATTTATACGCTACAAAGGCAGAAAGGCCAATTAGTCGAATCGACGACTCATCGCTCTGGGGAGCTCGAGAGTATCCCAATGATGCCAGGAACTCTGTGACATGTGTGCCAATCCCCCAGTACAACCTTGGATGCCGTCGTGTGCATGCGCGGGGGCAGCGAAAGGACGTGCGGGGAAGCGAGCATGTGGGGTCAGACCGATACCTGCATAGCCTGGAGACGGGCGCGTGGGATAGGCGCTGCTCCCCCAACACTCTCAACGCTCTCTATTTCACCTTATCCCCAACTTCGTTCGCCACTCTTCACGCCGGAGCTCTTGCGTCCGCTCCTTGCGCGCCTCATCGCGACGATGGACGGCTTCTTCTTCGGGATCCAAATAGCTGGCTGAGCGGAGGCGGTCGTAATTGGCACAATCTTTTTGACGTTGACATGCAAAGTCGCGAAGGCGCTCTACCCGGGATGTCCCTTTTCATGAACTTCCGCGGCTCACAGAAGCCCACATGCCGCTTCTGTATCTTCACTCCCCTGATTTTTCCGGCAGCGTCTGCTCTCGATGTCGGTGTATCTCGAACGAACTCAGGCAGCTCCGTTTCTCCCATTCGGCGAACGTCATAGCGCCGCAGTCCGGGCAGAGCGGTAGTGCGTTCGTTTGTCTCTTCCACGGTCTGCGCATTTGGTCTGGAAAGCTGGAACTCTTGCGTGTGGGCTTGGTGTCGCTGCGTGACAAGACTTTGGAGAGACAATTGTAGGTGGATATGAGTGACATGTGCAGGCTGCGCGTTAGGCGTGGGATGTGGTATCGCGACTGGGGAGTTAGTGCTGGGGTGGGGGGAAGGTGCAGTCGCGAGAACTCCTACATTTTGGGGCTTGGGCGGTTGCGGCCCAGCTTGGTCGGACTTTGAGTCGGGTAATGACGATGCAAAGCTTGTGGTCGACATGGTGGTATTGCGGGATCGGTTGTGCGTTGATGAGGCGGTTGGGAGGTAAGGATGCAAGTGCGGTGATGTAGGAGGAAGGAGCGCATCAGCATGGGGACCAAGCATCAGCACTACTTCAGACACCAGCATTACTTCATGACCCAGGAACGCGTCGATGAGCGTGTAATCGGGATACTGAAGTAGGGTAGTCGTCCTGTGGTTCATCTTGGCTGCTAGGCTGGGTGGACCACTCACAACTTAACACCAAACCTGAATGCGGAAATACCTAAGATGTGTTGGGTATGTCGCAAACTTCAAGAAGAAGCACACATCAAACCGCAGCTCGTGATCGGAGGAGCAAGCGATAGAGACACAAGCGACGCTTAAAGGCACGAAGTCGTCGGTAATGGTCGAACTACCAAAGTCAAAGCCGCGCATCAGCCATGACGACGGTGAACCCCGAGATCATCGATACGCCCCAAGCCATCGTTAAGCTCGTAGACCAGCTAATCTCTATCCACGAAGCCCGAAATGAGTCGCTTGACCCGCCCATCATGCACATCTCCCTCGAAGGCGTGAATCTTTGTCGCAACGGCTCTGTCTCCATCCTCACCCTCTTGCTCCACGAAAGTCCTTCGTCGCAGCAAATCTACATCATCGACGTCCACACGCTCGGCGCACAGACTTTCAGTACTGCAGGCGCAGACGGAAAGACGCTGAAGCATATACTCCAGGATGAAAAGACCCCCAAGGTATTCTTCGACGTGCGCATTGCCTCCGCCGCGCTGTTCGCGCATTACGGCATCGCCCTAGAAGGAGTGCAGGATGTACAACTCATGGATAGTGCGGCGATAGAGACGACAGAATCGAGGGAATATCTTAGCTGGCTGGCTGCGTGCGTGAAATACAACAGCATAATCTCGTACTACCATTATACGACATGGTCGAGGGACAGAGAGGCGGGCGAGCAGCTGTTCAGATCTGAACTCGGCGGATCGCCCGACGTCTTCAACAAGCGGCCCCTTCCCGACGACATCATCAAGTACTGTGTCGGTAATGTCGCATGCCTTCCGGCGTTACGCAACAACCTTTGGGGTGGGCGGAGGCAGGATTGGCGTGATCTGGTGCAAGATGAAACGGATAGGCGTGTTGCGTATTCTCATGCGGCCGATTATCAACCTGGTGGGACAGATTGGGTGTTGGCGCCGTGGACCGACGATCAGAACATGGTGCTTGACATGTTCAACCTCCCAAGTGATTTTGAAGATGATTTCTTCGACTGTCTCGAGAACGATGAGGTTGAGGATGACGTAGAGAGGACGACGTAGAGAGAGGACGACGTAGAGAGAGGACGACGTAGAGTGAGGATGAAGGCCCTCCTGCACAGGCGTACCGAAGTGGTGAGCACACAAGCTATGTCAGCAGAAACCATCATAGTCTAAACCCGTGGATATGAAGCAATCATCCGCAAGCGCAACAGAAGTGCGATATACAATACTGTACATATCTACATACCCCCTCCCCTTCCAATCACGCCGTCCTCTCACTATGCACCTCCTCCTCATCCTCCTTCTTCGTAGTCTCATACCTCTTGCCCCGGAAAGAGTACACACCCCAGTTACTGCACGTAACATCATGCGGGTCCAGGTCGTTGAGGTCCCATCTTAGACTCCTGAACAGGTTCTCGCCCGGCTCAAGCAACATATCCATCTCATTCCCGAACCTATTCTTGAGGAAGTCGACATCCTGCTGCATATCCCACGGGCTGTATCCAGTCGCGATGATAGGCACCTTCGTCTCGAGGAGGAGGGGTAGCGTCTCCTCCCACTCGTGCGCCGAGGCCGGATTGCCGAAACCGGGATGGAAAACGACGAAGCAGTCGAAGTAGGGGTCGTAAGGGTAGAAGTAACCCGTCTTGTGGATGTTATGGTAGTACTCGACGAAGGTACTAATCTTGAGAGAGTTGCTAATGCGGTCCTCAACAACGGCGCCGAATGGGTTCAGAGGCGTGCGCTCCGGGAGGGGCAGCTCTTTCTCGCGGTTCGCCATGCTCTCGGGCCCGATGAAGTTGAGCGAGAATTGTACGCGGTGGAAGAGGTAGGAGAGTTGCATCCAGGTTTCGCGGGGTAGCGAGGATTCTGCGCGTGCGCCGAGGATGAAGAGGCGGACGGATGGGGGTGCGAGGCGCGCGTTCTTCCAGGTGTCGCCGCCGCCGGTTCGGGGTGGGTGGAGGGTGTGTCGGAGGGCTGGGGGCGTGTTAGTATTATCTCATTTCCCAGATGGTTTGTACGTACCGCTGAAGCTCTTCAGTCCCTCCGGCGTCATGCGCCCGTTCTTCCGGATGTTGTAGGGACTCAGCTCGTTCAATACACTCGCAATGGTGATAGGGTATGTCAGCAGCTTTGTCGCCTGACGCATCTCGCGGTCCTCGTTCAGGGCGTCGAAATCTCGCGTGTACATGTACGTGTCCCAGCTCGTCATGTTGACCAGAATCTCCTCCATCTGGGGCTCCGCGAACTGGAACTCCTTGAAGAAGCGCCCACTTCGCAGATCGTGATCGTCCTCGTTAATCTGCTTCAGAACGTCGCAGACCTCCAAATGTGCCTCGTAATCATCCGCCCAATGCTCCTCGCAGCAGTACACCGGTATGCCACAGTCTGGGCACTCGAAGTCGACATGGGCGGGCGGGGCGCCCGTCTCAGAGGACTTGCGAGCTTCCAGATCCATGGGGTTGTTCGCCGGACGCGTCGGCTGATGCGAGGGATGTGGACAGTAAGCATGTTGGCGCATGAAAGCAGCACGCTTCCGTATTTCAGGTATTGGCGAGCCGGAAAAGGAATTGAAGAGGTTGTCCTCGGTCAGGACCAGCTTCCGCCGATGGCCCTCGGGATCGATGTATTCATAAGGCTCGAACGGCTTCTCGAAAGCCCGGGCCGGCGTCGTCGAGAGGCTGCGCTTGGGCAGGGCAAGCTTTGGCGGTGCTGCGCTTTTGGTCGAGTGACTGCGCTGCGACGACACCTTGGGCGCGAGCGGGCGGAGGCTTTGCGACGGCCGTAATTGGGAGCGCGGCGTCTTCAGGGCCGAGAGACACTGTCGGCAGGTGTACGGCGTCCTCATTTTGGGCTGTCAACTCGCAATTGGTGTTGGCGGGCTGCTGCCATATCGTGACATGAGGGTCCGCGAATGTTAGCGCGGTCCCGGCCAATCCCAACGCCGATTGGCCACCTGCCCTGACGAAGACATCATCACCCGCAACCGCCTGGTCGTACTCAACACCAATGTCACTTCATCGCAACACGACGGCGCTTTCATTTCGCTTGTCACGCGGATTCGACTACATCGAGAAGTCGCAGCGATACATGTCACACTCACTGCTGCCGTCAGCGACGCGTCATCCATTCGGCTTCGGGTCCATTTGTAACAGCATCCACGATAGTTGACGTCCTTTTATCACAAGAATGCTCGGCGAAGAAGACAAAAGACTGGACGTGTTGACCTTTCCTGCTTCTACGAGCCTCTAGCATATAGATGTCAAAGGTGCAGAATGTATCGACATTTTGTTGATTCCACCCTAGGCTCGTCTATCGTGTCTCTCGGTTGTGCCTGAGGCGGACTTAGATCCCGAAGTAGTCAACCTATCAGCGATGGGCGATCCTTGAAAGCTCGGCCTACTTCGCGCGAGAGTTGCTAGTTCTGAATATCCCAGATATGCCACCGGAAGAACAACTCCAAGAAAGTCGTTCACGGAGGATCTTTATAGCGATCGCCATCTGCATACTCCTCTTCCCCGCAACTAACCCCGGAAAAGAGTCAAGCCCGCTGCACAACGTCACATGGATCGCCGACGTACAACAAAACCACGGCGGAGCCCATATTGCAATCATGGTCATCTCAACTCACGGCCAGTTTGTCAATACCGGCAATGCGGTTGTCACGGTTCGAAACGCTTTTAGCGATCTGTGGTCTGATTGACTCCTCGGATGCGAAATCACTATGGTCGACAGTTCCTGCGAATGGTAGCGACATCATCCGTACCACCTATCCTCTTGGAAATGGACGTCTTGGTGCCATGCCTATCGGCCCACCCGGTGCTGAGACACTCACCCTGAACTTGGATACATTGTGGTCCGGAGGTCCCTTCAATGCATCTGTAAGCTCCGCTGACTCTGTGCTGGCAATTGACCATAAACCGACACTAACACATCCAAAAGAACTACACAGGCGGTAATCCGACCTCTTCCAAAGCAGCAGCATTACCGGGTATCCGGGACTGGATCTTCACTAATGGAACGGGAAACGTGACGGAACTGCTGGGCTTGGACGCTTCGTATGGCTCGTACCAAGTGCTAGGAAACTTGAGTGTGACCATGCCGTCACTGTCAGGCGCTGATGTGACCGACTATATGCGAACATTGAACCTGAGCAATAGCGTCCACACTACGGCATTCAGTGTAAACGGTAGCCTTATCGAGACTGAAGCGTTCTGCTCGTTCCCAGATCAAGTCTGCGTCTATTCGGTTCGCTCGTCAGGTCAGCTGCCAGCGCTGGAAGTGAGACTGGACAATACACTCATTGAGCCGGAGTTGCGCAACATTACATGCGTCGGTGGTGATGCGACGAGTTCATCGCATCTGAGAATGAGCGCCCTGACGCAGCTTGGCCCACCTGAAGGTATGCGATACGACGCGATGACACGAGTTGCATACAACACCGGCATCGAAGTTGTATGTGATGGTGAAGCCAAGTCTTTGATGGTCTCCTCGCGCAACGGTACGAACAGTGTCACGATAGTAGTCGGCGCTGAAACGAACTACGACGCAAAGAAGGGAACAGCGGAGTACGATTACTCCTTCCGTGGCGAAGATCCAGGCCCGGTCGTTGAGGCTACAACTGGCGCTGCCGCCGCGAGACTCTTGTCGGGTCTACAAGGGCGTCACATGGAGGACTTCACTTCTCTTACCGACCGCTTCACGCTATCTCTTCCCGATCCTTTCAACTCATCTCAAGTACCCACATCCGAGCTTGTCGCACGTTACAACGCCAACATCACAGCCGGCGACCCATACCTCGAGAGCCTGCTCTTCGACTATTCACGATATCTCTTCATCGCCAGCTCGCGACCGGGCTCCCTCCCCCCGAACCTTCAAGGGCGATGGGCCGAAAGCCTCGAACCCGCTTGGTCGGCAGATTACCATTCCAACATCAACATCCAGATGAACCACTGGACCGCCGACCAGACGGGTTTGACTGATCTCCAATCACCGCTATGGGATTACATGTCTGACAACTGGGTTCCGCGCGGCAGCGAGACCGCCGAGCTATTATATGGCGCACCCGGATGGGTGGTTCACAACGAGATGAACATCTTCGGCCACACGGGCATGAAGAGCGGAGCTGAGTGGGCGAACTATCCGCTCTCTGCAGCTTGGATGATGCAGCATGTCTTCGACCATTGGGATTACTCGCGCGACGAAGCCTGGTTGCGTGATCAGGGATACCCGCTGATGAAGGGTGTTGCGGAGTTCTGGCTCAGCCAGCTGCAACAAGATCTGTTCAACAACGACGGCTCGCTGGTCGTAAACCCATGCAACAGCCCTGAGCACGGTCCTACAACATTCGGATGCGCGCACTACCAGCAACTCATCCACCAGGTCTTCGATGCCGTGCTTTCCACTGCCCCCGCCGTCAACGAGACCGACACCGCGTTCGTCACCAACATCACCAATTCGCTCCAACGGCTCGACAAAGGTTTCGCAATCGGTACCTGGGGCCAAATCAAAGAGTGGAAGCTACCCGAGGAACCCTACGGCCTAGAATTCATCAACGACACCCACCGCCATCTTTCCGAACTCGTAGGCTGGTACCCCGGCTACTCGATCTCTTCCTTCCTCGACGGCTATACCGAAGCCGCAGTCCAAGATGCCGTGCGCCAGAAACTGTACAGCCGTGGTAATGGCAACGGCGAGGCCCTCAACCAGGCGAATGCTGGCTGGGCGAAGGTTTGGCGCGCCGCTTGCTGGGCTCGCCTCAACGAAACGGACGAAGCGTATTACGAGCTCAGATATGCGATTGAGCAGAACTTCGCAGGGAATGGATTGAGCATGTATGATGGAGATAGGGTGCCGTTTCAGATTGATGCAAACTTTGGCTTCGGGGGCGCGGTGTTGAGTATGCTTGTTGCGGATATGCCGTTGGCTGCAGGTGATGCACGTAAGAGGACTGTGGTCTTGGGACCTGCGATACCGAAGAGCTGGGGTGGCGGGAGTGTAAAGGGGTTGCGATTGAGAGGTGGTGGGGTTGTGGACTTTGGGTGGGATGAGGAAGGTGT